TCTTTTTTTTTGTTTTAACCCTTTTAATGTAAAAGCAGATGCATAAATTGTGTTTGAAACCTAAGAATTAAGAATATGACAACAATGTGACTTTACCGGGCAAGCTAGAGTAATCGAGATCAAAGCAATCGGCCATTCGAGGGCTTCCCATGTTCTTAGCTTCTTCACCGACTTCATTGCATTGGTTCCATGCTTCTATAGCCACCCTTAAGCTATCCTTTCTCATCCCGGGATCTCCCAAAGCCGATACATATTCGATATTTGTTGTTTTTGTAAATTCTGATCGAACAAAGGAACATGAAAGACATGAAAGTATAATCATAAGTCTCTTGATGAGTCTACATGATCCATAGACATTCTTCTCCATTGCAGAGCTCAATTTCTGAAAACTTTCTTATTATTTATTTGGATTCATATGGTATTGTATATTTAAGATAAGAAATTTATAAATTTTTTTGTCAACAAATTAATTAATCTCAATCGACCCCTAGTTTTCAGTTTTAGTTCGTTTATCCATTTTTAGTTAAACACATGTTTAAGAAATTCTACATCCGTCACTGTATACGCTTGAAAAGACCTCTTGAAGTTATCCACAAGATTGAGCAAGAGATTGGTAATACGTTAAGGTAACTTCTTATCTAAAGAATCGTGTTTAGATATATTTTCTCACAGCGCACGCTAAACAACACAAAAAAAGTTGCTACATTTAGGAGTCGTAAATTGAAATTAGAGATTTTGCGATAAACCCTCGACCTATAAGATAACAAAGTGTGTGTGTGTGTGAGAATCATGTGATTACTATTTATTAGATGAAACTTTTAGTAACAACAACGAACGTTAAGAAACCAAAACGTACAAGCTTATTGTCTTATTATAGCAATACGTAAAAGCATTCTCCACTGGAGATTTGTCGTCTTTAACAGATTTTAAGCAAATAGAGAGGGAATGTTTATCGCAGAGATCAAGAAAAACAGAGCAGAAACAGAGTAGATACAAATATGACGTGGTTTCTTGGATTACAAGGCATTACTTCTTTTAGATTCTCAAGGCATCAAGATAAGCTTTTCCATCGAGTACACGAGAGAACAAACCATCTCCGTACTCTTTCATGGTCAGCCTTTTGAAATTTGCAACCTTTTGCCTTTCGACGAGGCTTTTCGCGGGACCAATTTCTTTATACTTCCCCGGACTGTGAAACGTCGCAACAGATAGTCTCTCTTTCTCTGAATTCACAACTCCTCGATGCTCGATGCTTCGGTATGTTCCATTCGTTATGATCTACCGAAAAAACCATCATTAGTACCATTTTACAAATGATCTATTACTATATGGATTTGATGTAGTATTACCTCTAAGACGTCTCCAATATTGACAATGAAAGCATTTGGGAGAGGTTTAACAGGAACCCATTTCCCGTCTTTCTTGATTTGGAGACCTTCAACTTCATTCACTTGCATTAGTATGGTGAGTCCAGCCGAATCCGAATGCGGAGTTAGACCGATAACCTGATCCGGTTGTGGACACGGCGGGTAGTAATTCATCCTCATACTTTGACCCGAATCAACATCATCGAAAAACTTTTCCATTTCCTCTGGTTTGACCTCTAGGGCTCTCGCCATTTTCGCGACTAAAATCTTAGCTATGCTCTGCACTTCAGCAGAATACTTCTCCAATGTATCTCTAATGGAACACAAGACCCGAATTTAAGTACGATTAAACTTGAGATTTGAAATCTCTGCTTAAAGAGAAAGAAGATATTTTAAGTTAAAACAGATTTTGATACAAGAACCTGATGGGAAGAGGTAGCAAGTGGGGCTTGCGTAATTGAACAGGTTGCACTATAGTGTAGAACAAATCTGCCCAGTCGAGTCTCTGATCTTCTGAAACCACAAAAAGTTGTCCAAAACCTTCAATATCATTTGGTTTCTGCCAAAACTTCTTCTTTTCTTCCATTGGAAGGTTGAAGAAATCTTGCATCTCCAACTTAAATTTGTCCAACAAACTTGGATCTACTCCATGGTTTACAAGCTGTAGATACAGTAGATGACCATAAGTACATAAACAACATTGCTTATTAGTTTTTCCTCTTCCTCCATTTCAAAATACAATATAAAGATAATCTAGCTAGGAATATAACGAATATTAGTTTTAAATACAAGAATTTTTGTTTTCTTCAAAATATAATAGGGAAAATCGCATAAAAAACTTTAAAGGTGGCACGCACTGACACTTTAAACCTCCAAAGTTTTTCACTACTTTAATCCTCTAACTTGGCATTAATTACAACATAAACCCCCAACGTGGAGTTTTTAAACACGCCGTCAAAATTTTAAACTGAATAGTAAACGCTATTAACTGAATAATAACTCCGTTTAAACTCTGTTAATTTGGTTTTACTATAATTACAAATGTATTTGATTTATTTATATAAAAAATGTATTTTTGTATTTAAATATGTCTTATTATTTTAGTAACATATG